TTGCCTTCAGAAAGGGCAATTTCCCTGTCGCTTTTACTATTCCTTGTGATAATGAGTAGGATCAACCCGTCTACCCCAGTGACAACTAATCCTTCTTCCCCTTCCTCACAAACCAATTAATCCGTCCGTAGATTCATCAGCCAGATCAGCAGACTGACACAGTTCACTGCCCATCCCTGCAGGCAGGGAGAAGGGAGTGAGAGAATCCCTTCATCCCTTGGCTGAAGCCAGCTGTGAAGAGCACGCTGAGAATTGATGGAGGTGCTTCTGAGCTGCGAGGGGTGGCCCAGGGTTGCTGAGCGGTGCAGTAAGTGGCTGCTGTTGGAGCAGATGGGCCAAGCCACGTGACAGCTATGGCACATGAATCCAGGTGGCTTTGCAAATGAGAGACTGAAGTGCAGCGTCTAACAAACAAACAGAATAAGCTGTCACATCAGAAGTAAGGCGTAAGATACACAAAGTATATTGGAATGAGCAGACTGGGTAAGATAATAGCTGAAAAACAGAATGAAAGGCATGGGAGAATTTTGTTACTGAGACTTCTTCATGCATATGTCAAACGTCTGGTCTTCAGAAACACCAAAACTCCAAACTAGACAAAGGGAATATGAGGAACTGCTTTGGTTTTGACCTTCTGGATTAATTCCTGACCCCAAACCATCTATTCCAATCCAGTGCCACTAAACTATCCAGTGAGCTCTCAAGCTATAAATGAATCTGAGATCTTATTATGTGGAAATGCCATCTCTGATATGATATCCCATTTTTCTTTTGAAATTGGCCCCTATTGCTTTAACATTACAAAGGCAGCTTATTAAGTGGGAGATAGGGAAAAATCCTTCACGGTAGGATTACTAATTATCCAAACTTTAAAGGTAACCCTGTTCAAACTTTTCTGGTTCTATGCACTTTGGGATTCTTTTGAAGTTGGCTGTCTTCTGAAGGAACGTATTAAGTATTTTGCATTGTCAATTGCCATTTATTAAAAAATTAGGTGCAAGTGAAGGTTTTCCCCTACAACCATGTTTTTAAGCACACATGACTTCCTTCTTGGCATTCTCCCTTTGTGGCAGGAAAATGGTCCCCTTTGGTCCATCGTGGTCCCCTTTCGTTTTATGTTTTTAGAACTACTGTCAGGCACTTGTCTTGGACCAGCAAGTGAAGCTGGGAACTCCACCAAAGTGTTAAATATCTAGCACAGTGATTAAACATACCTGTCATCTTCAATAGTGTCTGATTATAAAGAATATTATTATAAGTTATATTATTAATAATAATAAATATGTACAATGATTTAAAAGTTCTGGAGCCTTTTGCCTCTCTAAGATTACTTCTTCCTCTGCATAACACAAAGAGTTAGTATAACACCAGATTCAGTTTGTGTTTTGTAGTAATGTTAATTCGGAATAAAACAGATGGCTAAACCCAAGCTAGACAGAACTGTAATTATATCTGCGGTGTTAGAGGTGAAGGCATGTTGTTAAAACATTTCCCTCTTCTCTTTGAATAATGTGTAGGTCTGCAAAATGTAAGCGTCATGCTGACTATCAAATGTCGCTCTAGCTTTTGGATGGGAAAAAGTATCTGGTGCAAAAGGGAATATGCGCAGAAGAACTACGAGAGCTCCTAATTAGCCATTATAGGATTCCATTAATCTCTTCAATCGACTAAAAGAATTATAGTCGTTGAAGTCTATTTGTCTTGAGATGGGAAGAAGGCTTAACCAAAGCCTTTGGACTGACAATAGTGCAAAGAAAAGCATGTTCTATGCATCTAGCTACATCTGTTGGTTCTCTTAGAGAAGGTCACAGCCTTCTTCAGGTGATGGCAGAGCAGCTGTCACTCGAGTGCTGAGTACATCCAACCATGTTTTACCAGAGGTCTGACAAGCTGCCCATGGCTGAGCAGGCATATACCCCAGCTAAAGCTCTGAAACTGCAAGAAAGTATATTTAAATTAAATATAAGGAAAAAAATCTTCCCTATGAGAGTGGTGAAGCACTGGACCACGTTGCCCAAGGAGGTCGTGGATGTCCCATCCCTGGAAGTGTTTGAGACCAGGTTGGACGAGACTTTGAGCAACCTGGGCTGGTGGGAGGGAGGTGTCCCTGCCTGCAGCAGGGGGCTTGGAACTAGATGATCTTCAAGGTCCCTTCCAACCTTAACCATTCTATGATTCTACAATTTGTGTTCCTGGGTAGGAGTTTGTAGTTGGAGGTCATTAATAGAAAAGTGCAGGCCCAAATTACTTCAGCACTTTTCAGTTTCATAGGTTAGTGTAACAGACCATATCTCACCTACAGCTCCTTTCCCGTGGCTCTCGCAAGGGCCAGGGGGTGCCTGCAGCCGGGAAGTGGCCGCGTCCTGTCCCCTCGGGGCCATGCATGTCCCGGGGGTGGGCTCTGCCCAGCTTCTGCACAGCAGCTGCCGCATCTCGCGCAGTGGTCAGTAGGATCACGCTATCCCAGCTGGAAATCTGAAAATGTCAAGCTGGAAAACATAAGTGGCTTTTTTTGAGTTTCTAATATTTGTGGTTCTGATTTTAATCTTCCTAATATGAAATAATTACATTTGCTCCAACATGGTTTTCCTGAGTATATAGGTGACTTCAGCAGCATAAGTTCCCTCTCACCCAGTGAGCTCGTTAGGTCAACAGTACTTCCTATTTAATTTATGTAATATTTAATTGTTGCCCATGTTATCAGATAGGATAAGAAATTGCGTTGGGTTAAGGCTTCTGGATGGAATCGGAAGTGAAAAGGCAGAAGAGAAAAAAGGGAGCAGAAGCAGTAAAGGATAGTGAACAACAGAGAAGAAATTAGCAGCGGCTATAAAGGTGGAGACACACTGCCACCATGCAGTGATGATAATGATAAAAAGAAAACTAACCATATTTTGCCATGGATCTCTGGTGCAGACCCATCCTTGAAATTGGTGGGAATTCAATGGACCAGAGAGCACGTTATCTCTAATGTATTTTTTGGCTCACAGATCGCAATTAAAATTAAATTCTGCCTTCTGCAAAATTAAATTGGACACATTGGTCTGCTGTAGCGAATCCTCAATCTCAGTTGGTCTCAGCTGAGTTAGACTACTCAAGAGAAAAAACAAATGATAACTATGGAACTTTTCTTGTGACAGTATGTGAAACTGCTGTTATAGCACAAGTTACTTTCAAGGAAATCTAGGATGTATGGGTTACTTTTCACAAGAGGAAAGACAGTTTTACAGGCTCTTGCTGTTGACTGCTGTTCATATAGATCATTCAAGTGTCTTGGCTGCAAAAATATTAATACGGGATATTATTACATAGAATACATGTTATCACTGAAGTATTTTAAGTGCCAACATTTCCGCATGCTGCAGCTTTTTGCTAAGATGAGCATACCCTTGTCAAACGTTTCTAGTTCTGTATTATTCAGTAAATGAGCATGTGGTTGATTAAAGTAGCTTTACTGTACTGGGGGGTGATCAGACTGCAAACATGTCTTTAACAACTGGCTCTTGTAAATAAAATAGAAGAGAGCTGATTGAAATCTGAAAATGTCAATAGATGCAAAAAGCCACCTTAGAGCATTACCTGATAAAATAAAAGTAGAGAAGTAATGGCATGGTCAATATTAGCCACCATCAGCTGGAAAGAAATCAGATTGTCAGAGATCTATAAAATTCTTGCCAAAGTAGAACCTCATTTGCACATACAGATCTTCATACCCTTTGCTAAGAAAAGCATATGTGACAGCTTAGAGGTTTTAGCTGCCAAAGATCTTTCACTCTGAATACAGTAAATGTCACATCTATTTATTTATCGTTAAATTTTGCTAAGTATCTGTAGAAATATTTGGATTTTTTCTATCATAATGTAGATGTTTAAAACGAAAAGAATCCAGATTATAATGCAGCTGTAGCACCAAACCATATGGCTGCTAAATGGGAGAAAAAATACACCACTGAATTACTGGGAGTAAACATAAACTGGATGCAATCTTCAGAAGAATATTAAATGGAATATATAAATACCAGAGTATTGCCATAAAATCATGCAATCAGACAATAGATTATTTCACATGCTGAAAGTAATCACAGTTGTATGGCGATTTATGTTTTCTAAATGCCAGACTGAAAATATTAACTAATGAATCTTGGCAAGCACAGTGTTTCTACCAACTGCAGTGGTTGTTACATCAACATCTAGGCCTTTCTTGAAAGAGAGAGAAATAAGGCAGCCGTCCTGCACCCCAGCTTTATTAGAATCTGTCCAGAGTCCCAGGTGCTCGAAACAGTCTTTTTTCCTCTTCAATTCAAGGTTTGAATTTTTTGTTTTAAGAAAACGTCTGTGGGTGATTTATTGGTGTATTGGGTGGAATTTGCACTGTGCTGAGCAAGGCCAAATGATCCAGTGGAACACATATTCACCGTTAGGAATAGCATCTGGCATCAGAGAGAACTCAAATTGGTGTGGGTGTTGGGTGTTGCGTTGCCTCCTCTTTTACTCAGAGGCTGTTTCATGATAAGTCCATTTGGATTCTACATTGCTGTGTAAGAAGGAGATAGTTAATAACTTTCAGGAGACAAGACTGTGTTTCTGCTCGGTCTGGTAAAAACTTAGCGGGGAGAATTGTCAACTGTACTTTAATAATTTTGGTCTCTTCTGTTGTTTTTATACAAAGTGGAAGGAGAGGAAGTGTCTTCGTGCCGTTCACAGCCATCTTCAAACCGCGAACAGGAACTAAATGATCCTTGAACTCCAATTGGACTTTGTAAATTAGCGTCTCAGGGAGCAGACTCTCAGTATTCATAATTGTAGTGCTTAGATTTAGAAATATAATATGAGAGTTTACCTCAAAATCAGTTGAATTCATCAAGATTCCTTATTACTGCGTATTGAACTAGCTCTGCCCCTGGGAACTCAGATCTAAGTAACACTGAGTGAAGACTTTCTCTTCTGAAGTTTTATGCATGAGACAAATAGCAACTCTGAATTTCTTTTTCTTTCTACAGATGATATGGAAGCAATTCCAGTCAAGCAGTTCGTTAAACACATCAGTGAGCTGTACTCTAATAACCAGCATGGGTTCTCAGAAGACTTTGAGGTACGATTTAATGATCCACCAATAAAATGTTGTTTTCCTAAAGTTAATTGTGTATTAATAGTTAGGGACCATGCAACATCTGTGCGATGCTGTCATGCCAGGTAAATACAATCCTCAGATGTAACAGAAGCAATAGGAAAATACCAATCTGCCACAAGGTATGAGCAGTGTGGGACTGGACATCTACAGATGTTTTCTAAGCACCACAGATTTGGTACCTTTGAAGGGGGAGAACCCTCCTAGGTTTTTATTAAATAGGAAGAGTTGCCTGCAGTCCCCCAGGGAATAACCTGAAGAAACAAACAATTGTTTTTAACTCCAGGCTTTTCTTATAACCTGCAGTTTATTTTACTCTTGTTAGCCCAGAATGTGCTCCTCTTAGTCACACTGAGAAGTCACATACCCCCTGAATAGCACAAAAAGAGTAAAATAGTGCTCACTGTGAGTAAGAGCAGTAGAATTTGGTCTCTTATGAAAACCCAAACTATGGGTCAGTTCCTGGAGTCCTTGTTCGTACTCTGTTCAGCCAAGAGAGATTGCCATTGAAGTCAGTGGTTATTTTGCTCCAGTAAAACCAAGGAGAAAGGTTTCAGAATTTAGTAGATGCATAGATTTAGTAGATTACATAATGTGACTATTTTAAAGTTTGCATCTTGTTACCTGTTTAGAACAGATTCTGATCCATAAATCTGTTGTAAATTGGAGGTAATTCCAGTGAAATTGAAAGTAGTTTTCCACCGCTAGGTTATCAAACCCACGTTGTGCAAGCATGGTAAACATCACACACTCTGAGGATGGGCTGCGGAGTCAGCCCTTAATAAGAACAAATGAGTATTTTAGGCATTTCTTTCACTCAGTATAATAATCACAGTCACTGCCGAACTTTTGGAAGTATTCAGAAGCAGGAGGAGCCCCGGGAAATTGCATGGAGCTGTGCTGCTGCTTCCTCACCAGCAAAATAATGTGTGTTTGTGTGCTGCATGTGAATCAGAGAGGCAGCTCTGCTTACAAACAAGGCAATGAGCCAGAATAGGTGGCCTAATATCTACAGCTTCTTCGCCTACTGCAGTAAAGACAAGACTGTATGCAGGAATTGTTTTTAATGGGACCATTTAAAACATTTATTGTTGCTGTTTGGTTACTGTCTATAAAGAGTGGCTGCTTTGTCTGATGCCCAGAACCCGTTGTGTAAGTTAGAAACATTTTGTATTCATGAGGAAGGCAAATGTGTAAGGTGTTAAAGTGATTTAGTTCAATTGACTGCTGGCTGGATGGCTGAGCAGGAATATTGAGGCATTTAACAATGTTGATGGTATTCAGGACAAACATTTATTCTCCAGAGAGTAGAATTTGATCAGGATGATCAAATGCGACTCACTCTTCTCAATTATTTATGAATTGCGACCCCAGCACTATTCATCACAGCTGGGCTTTACACCATTTAATTATTCAAAATAATCAGCAACACATCTGTAAACTTGGTCCGGCTTTAAGCTAGCTTTGCTTCCGCGTCACAAAATCACTGCTGTTAGCAAATGTTGGACACCTTCCGCCCGTGTTTTAGCAAAGAAAAACACTGCTTTAATAGCCTTATTTTGACCCTTCTCCTGGAGCTCCCTGCAGCAAGTACCACGCTGTGGCAGCCAGTCGGAGATAGCGCTTTGGCCA